AATCGAAACAAAGAAATAAATAAAGGGTATAAAGCTACAGAAATAATAAACAAGAAACAAAGACAATAAAACAAAGAAATGGAGTAATGAATGAAGTGAATGAATTAGCAACAATTGGATATATAAAAGTTAAATAAAAAATTTAGAATGAAGAATAAAAGTGATAAATAAAAGATGAACTAATTATAGATAAAACAATAATATTAAATAATATTATTTTATTATTAATTTTATTATAGAATATTGTTATTTAAAACAATAAAAATGAAATAATAAAATATTATAATAATAAATAAAATAATATATTATAAACATGTATTTAAGTATTTAATCATCTGATTTTGATCTGATATTCATTAAATTAAAATGGATGAGTTAATAAACAAGAACACTCAATTCTTTAAAGAAGAAATAGAAACACTCCCAAATATTCAACAATCAATTGATGATATTAACAAACATTATCATTATTATTTAGGAAGTATTAAAAATGAAGTATTTGAAATAAAATCAAATGAAACATATGAACAGGCTATTAAACTGGGAGAAGGGATGATTGATAGAATAGTTGAAATAGAAAGAAGAAGAAAACTAGTAATAGAAAAAAGTCAAGAAACAAATAAAAGAATAGAAATAATAAAGAATCAAATAAACAAAATAATAGAAGAAAGTAATAAAGATGAAGAAATACTAATTAAAACACGGAATGAAATAATCAATAAAATCATTTCAATTGAAGAAATGGTCATGAAAAATAAAATATTGAGAACACCAGAAGAAGCAGATAAAATCACCCAAGAATTTAACAAAAAGAAAGAAGGATGGAACACATATTATAGTAGTTATGAAGAGAGGAAGAAGAAAAAAGAAAAAGAAAGAAAGAAACAAGAAAGAGAAAGATTAAGAATAATGAACGGGATGAACACAATTGAAGAAATGAAACAACTAGAAAAATGGACAAATAGAAAAGTATCTAATATATTATTTAATTCAGATGTTGATGATTGGAATCAGTATACATCAGTATTTGATCAAAGAATAATGAATAAAGAACATATAATAATTATTATTGAAGATGAAGATGGAAATAAATTTGGAGGATATATTAATGTGAAAATTGATAAAGCTGGTGATTTTAACTGGATAAATGATCCAAAATCATTTTTATTTTCATTAAAATCAAAAAGAAGAATACAAGGAATGATGAAATTTGATATTAAAAAACCACAATTTGCATTTTATTTATTTAATCAATCAGATAATTGTTTGTTTGAATTTGGATATGGAGGTGATATTGTTGTTTATAAAGAAAATGATAAAACAAAATCATATTGTGAACAATCTTCATTTTCATATAAAGGAATAACAAATGCACTTTGTGGAAAACAATATCCAGAATATTTCACACCAAAACATTTCATTGTAATTGAAATGAAATGATTTTTATTCATTATTATTTATTTGAAATATAATAACTAAAAAAGAATATAAAATAAAATCAATAAATGAATATGAACATTTCATCTATCAATAAATGAAATGGTGAATATAAAAATGTTCATATTTCTTTCTTGTTTTATTTTATTTGAAATACTCATATTCATTATGTTAATTTAATAAATAATAAAAAGAAATAAGAATAAAAGATAAATAAAAATATAATAAAATATTTATTTTATTCTTTTTTATTTATTTTTTATTTTATTTATATTATTTTATATTTATTTATTTTGTTCTTCTTCTTTTATCTTTATATCTATTATCTATTTCTTATTTTATTATTTATGTTATATTCTTATATCTTTTTATTCTTATTTTATATTTATTCATTATTATTCATTTCATATTAACAATGATAAATAACAATACAACATATAATAAATAAATAATATAATATAAACAACAATAAATAATAATAAAATATAAACAAACAATATAAACAAACATAAAATAATAAAATAACATCTAATATAAAATAATAATAACAAAGAATGATTATATTTTATTTTATTATTATATTCTTCTTAATATTCTCTTATCTCTTATTTTATATATTTATTAATATTATAATTTGATATTTTATTTTTAATGAAAAAGAAATAATAAATTATAAATAATAACTTTAATTCATATTTTTTATATTTATTCAATCATTGTTATAATAATATTTTCATTATTTTCATTGATTATAATAACAATGACTAGGTTTTACATGTCAATGTGATTTAAAAAAATTAATAGTTACTTTTGATAACTTTTAAAAGGAATAATAATGAAGGAAGTACAGAAACATTGTGTACGATGTATGGTCAAGAATAACTAAAATTAATGGATTAAGGGGTTGGATATAGTTGTTAAATGAATAAATAGAATACAAAGATTCTTTTACTTCAAAGAAGAAAGGAAGAAATAGAATTAGAGATTAACAAATAAAAAAAAGGAATCAACATAAATTAAAAAGAGGAACAATTAATACAAAAAAGTTAATAATTGGATAATTTAATTAAATAAAAGATTTTTTAGTACTTTTGTTTGAATGAAGGAAAAAAAAGTTCAATAAATAATTCATAAGAAAAAGAATTGGTTGATAAGAACAAAAAGTAATGAATATGGAAATAAAGAAAGAACAAAAGGATTGAAAATGAATAAAGAGAATAAAAAGAAGAAGAAATAAAAAGCGTTATATAAAACAGAAAGATAAAAAAGAAAAAAAAAAAGGGTTTTAGAGAAGAAAAGTAAAAAAAAATAAGAAAGAATTAAGAGAGAAAGAAAGAAGTAAAAGGGTTTTAGATAGTAACTATAAGATTAATATGTTAAATCCAAACAAACCATCTAACGAACTTAAAGAATTAACAAGAGCACATACAGAAAGTTTTAATTATTTTCTTGAAAAAGGAAAAGAAGATATATTAAAATATATGAAAAAATATAAAATTATTAAAAAGGATTCAACAGAATTAATGGAACTTTCATGTACAGGTATTTCAATAGAAAAACCAAGATATAATGGATTACCATTATTTCCATATATGTGTAGAAGTGCAGCATTAACATATTCAGGAAAAATTAGATTAACAATAACAATAAAAGAAAATGAAACGAGTAAAACAATTGAAGTTGATGGAGGAGAAATTCCAATTATGGTAGGAACAAGTAAATGTTGGATTGGAAGTGAATATATAACACCAGAAGAACGTATTAATATAAGAGAAGATCCACATGAAATAGGAGGATATTTTATTATTAATGGAATAGAAAGATATTTAAGAATGATTGTTTATGCTAAAGCAAATCATCCATTAGCAGTAATAAGACCAAGTTGGACAAATAAAGGAGCTCATTTTACAAAATATGGAATAATTATTAGATGTATGAGAGAAGATATTACGACATTAACAAATACATTACATTTTTTAGATAATGGAAAAGTAACACTTAGATTTATATTTAAAAAACAAGAATTTTTTATTCCAGTTGTTTTATTATTAAGAGTATATGGAGGAATGTCAGATAGAGAAATATTTGAATTAATTACAATGAATAATTATGAAAATTCTAATTTAGTTAATGCAGCAGAAATGCTTGTTAGAAGAGAAAATGGAAGTCCATTAAATGGATTAAATACACCCGAACAAGTATTATCATATATTGGAAGTAAATTTAGACTTATTATGGATAGTACTGAAGGAGTAAATGATATAGAATTAGGAAAAAGAGTTTTAGAAGAATTTTGTTTAGTTCATCTTTCATCATATTCAGAAAAATCAGATTTACTTATTTTTATGTTACAAAAATTATTTGCATTAGTTCATGGAGAAATTGATGAAGAAGGAGTTGATACACCAATGAGTCAAGGAGTTTTACTTCCAGGACATTTATATCAAACAGTAATAAAAGAAGAAATTCAAAATATATTATCAAAAGCAAGGTTATTTATTCTTAAAGATTTAAAAGATGTTAAAAAAGGAAGTAAAATAACAGAAAGAGTATATCTTCAAAGAATTCTTAGTAATGTAGCTAAATCATTTGGTACAAGAATAAAAAGTTTTATTTCTACAGGAAATTTTGAAACAAGTTCTACTACAGATCTTCAACAAACAAATGGATTTTCAATTACAGCAGAACGTTTAAATCATTCTCGTTTTACTAGTCATTTTGTTTCAGTTCATAGAGGAGCATTTTATACAACTATGAAAACTACATCAATTAGAAAATTAGTTCCAGAAGCATGGGGATTTATGTGTCCAGTACATACTCCTGATGGAGCACCATGTGGATTATTAAATCATTTTGCAGTTTCATGTAGAATTAATGCAAGAAAACATCCATTACCAGAACAAAAAATTATTGATTTATGTACTGAACTTGGAATGGTATCAACACAATTTATGAAATTACCATCAATTTATATTCCAGTTTTATTAAATGGAAAAGTTATTGGAAAAGTTTCACCACATGAAATTAATTCATTTGTTCAACAATTAAGATATGAAAGAGCTATTTATAATCCTAAAATTCCAAATACATTAGAAATTGGATATTGTGATGGATATCTTCAAGATGGATATCATGCATTATATTTAAATAATTTACCAGGACAAATGATTAGACCAGTTATTCATAGAGCAACAGGAAATATAGTTAATATTGGACCATATGAACAAGTTTTCTTAGATATTAAATGTGGAGATTCTATAGAAGGAATGAATAATGCAGAATATGAAGAAATTTCAGCATTAAATTCATTATCATTATTAGCTACATTAACACCATTTTGTCATATGAATCAATCACCTAGAAATATGTATCAATGTCAAATGGCAAAACAAACTATGGGTATTCCAGCACTTTCTAATAAATATAGATCAGATACTAAATTATTATGGTTACATTATCCACAAAGATCAATTTGTCAATGTGCATTAATGGAACCATTTGGATTTAATGAATATCCAACTGGAGCTAATGCAATTGTTGCAGTTATTTCATATACAGGTTATGATATGGAAGATGCATTAATTATTAAAAAATCAGCTATTGAAAGAGGATTTGGTCATGGAAGTCAATATAAAGCATATAAAGTAGATTTTGAAAAAGAAGGAGAAAAGAATGAAATGTTTTCAGGAATAACAAGTTCAGGAGAAATTTTTGATGAACATTTAGATGATGATGGATTACCAAGACCAGGTGAAATTTTTGAAAATTCACCTATTTATTCTCATATTGATAAAATTACAGGAAAAATTAAAGGTAAAGTATTAATGGGAGAACGTGGATATATTGAAAGTGTTAGAATTGTTGGAGGGGATAATATTGATTCTGGATTACAAAAGGCAGTTGTTCGTGTTAGATATAATAGAACACCTGTTATTGGAGATAAATTCTCTTCAAGGCATGGACAAAAAGGTACTTTATCACTTCATTATCAAGAAAAAGATATGCCATTTACTGAAAGTGGAATGACACCAGATATTATTATTAATCCACATGCTTTCCCATCTCGTATGACAATTGCTATGTTAGTTGAAAGTATGGCAAGTAAAGTAGGTGCATTAAAAGGAGAATATCAAGATGCTACTCCTTTTAAATTTGATGAAGAAAATACTGCTGTTGATTATTTTGGAAAACAATTATTAAAATATGGATATAATTATTATGGAAGTGAACCTTTATATTCTGGAATTTATGGCAATGAATTACAATCAGATATTTATATTGGTGTTGTTTATTATCAACGATTAGTTCATCAAGTTAAAGATAAATATCAAGTTAGAAGTACTGGTCCTATTAGTATTGTTACTCATCAACCAATTAAAGGAAGAAAAAGAGGTGGTGGAATTAGATTCGGTGAAATGGAAAGAGATTCTTTAGTTGCTCATGGTACATCTATGTTAGTTCATGATAGATTGTTTGAGTGTTCTGATAAATGTTATCATTATGTTTGTACAAAATGTGGTAGTATTTGTACTATTAAACGTTCTAAAGAATATGATAAAATGATTTGTCAAAGTTGTGGTCCAACTTCTATTGTTAAAAAGATTCAAATCCCTTATGTATTCCGATATTTGGCTGCAGAATTAAGTGCAATGAATGTGAGATTAAATTTAAAAGTTGATAGAAACAGTTTTTAATTGAACTTTTGGATTGATTTATATTTCTTTTTTTTTTATTATTTCTTTTTATTTTTTTTTTAATATAAGTAAATGATAGAAAACATGATATAAACAAAGTATTGAATTTGTAACAAATAAAAAGCAGTTAATTATTAATAGAACTTGTGTCTATTGTTCCTGTCTCAGTGGAGACTAATCTTGTCAATGAGTCTTCATCATGTAGTCCAACATCATATGTTTGGTTGTGGTAGAAGCAATGTTCAATGATATCAATAAGTTTTTAATTACAATGTTTTTAATTTCTTTAGTGATGTCTAATTTCGATTTTTAATTCTTTAATTAATTTAATACTTTCTACATTTATTAGCCCATTTATTGAAATTACTACTCCAATTATTTTGACATCCTTTAATTTCTCTATTTTCATTACCCTATTTTTTAATTCCTTATACATATTTCTTTTCTTCCAATATGCTCCATTAATATTATGATCTGCCACAATAGTCATATCAATTATTAGACCAGTTTTATTCTTTTTATTTATTACATATATATCTGGTCTTTTATGATATAGTCCATCACTTTTTGGCATTATTTATTTGTTCAATATCATAGTAATGTCATTGTATTGGAACACTGTTTCATATGGGGGTTTCTTGTATTGTTTATTTCCTGTGTATTTTCTTATTATCTAATATGATAATACCAATATGGTCATGTTTCTCCATTTGTGATTTTTTATGACCAATGCAAGATAGTAGAATGTGTTCTACTGTGGATGTCTTGTATTTACAAAGTGGGCAGTACTTCAATCTTTCATTTTTTAATATTTTCGCTTTCCTGTACCCACAAAATATTGCTCCATCTTGCATTTTAGTTAATTGAAGAAATGCATTTTTCTTTATATTGATGGACTTCCATGCATTTATTGTAGTAGTTTTATCTACAAATTTTGACTCGAACCATCTTCTAAAATGTCAACTTGTTTGATTTCAATTTTTTGATGTATTTGTTGGTCATTATTTTCTTTATTTTTACTACTACTTCTTTTTCTTTTTTATTTTCAATAAATTCATTTATTATTTCTTCTATTTTCGTTTCTGGGATCTTATGACTTAGTACTTTTTTAATTCTATTCCATATTCCTTTCTTGGAATACCATCTATCTAATATGTTATTTCTTATTTCACTCTTGTACAATAGTACATTACTCTTATAATTAATTCAATAACATATTCATCTATTAGGCTTATTAATCATTCACCCATTTCATTTATATTGACATATAGACGGTCTTTGGAGTTACAACAATGTATTTTGCCTTTCTTAAATATTTTCTTATCTCAAAGTCCATTCTATCTAAGTTACCTTCCAATTTACTACTGATGCTGAATATCTGAAGATGGGTATTACTTCAATATCAATTCTTGTAATATAACTTCTATTACTACTTTCATCAGTATTTATTTCTTCCATTTTCTTCATCATCTTTTCTTTGATGATTTTACAATTGAAGGTATCATTAATTTCATCTGACTGCCATACACCTAAATATTTATACAAGTCCTCTCCTTCAATTAATGTGATGTTTTGTATTCAATCTGGTATTTTATTAATGTTCTTTAATATCATTCCTGATTTATTTTCATTTCCATCCCTATTCCACTTATTATTTCTTTAATTTCATTATGGGTTGTTCCCATTTCTTCACTACTTTGTGTCATTATTCTCAAATCATCCATATACAATGTATGGTTTGATTTTGGGAACTTCTCTTCTATGATTTGAGAAATTATATTCATTTTGATGATGAAGAGTAGAAATGATAATGAATCACCTTGTAAAATTCATCAATTTAATACATCTTGGATATTCATTATATTTATATCCTATGAATATCTTCATTCTGTTCATCATACTTTCTACAATATCTATGACGACACCCTCTACATTAAAATATTTAAGTGATTCTATTACCTATTCATGATTTACTGATTCATATGTTTTCTTAATATCATAATATGATTCTACATATTTTGTGTATTTTTCTTCTTTTTACTGCTTTAACATATAACTGTTAATTAATCCTTCTTTATCAGCAAGAGATTGCAGTTTACATCATAATTGATTTTTACTAATTTTTAATGATTCATTATTCATGTTAATTCTATTATGAATCTTATCTTTTAATAAGGAGGTAAATACTTTCATTATTACATTTGTACAACTGATATGACGATAATTAGTGACATCGTTCCTATCACCTCCTTTGTGGATAAGTATAGTTCTTCCACTTACCATGTCTAGAGGGATGTTTTCGGGGAAGTTTAACCATTAGTTGAAGATATTAAGAATGGAATCTCTTGATGATGACATTCTCTTCTAATAATACAAATATATAATGTCAATACCTGGTGATTTCCAATTACTTATTTTCATCATTCTTAAATTTAAATCATCCAATGTGGTGATGACATATCATAATTCCTGTATCTTTCATTCCACGAGATGATTTGATTTATTTTCAAATGTTCTTTATTTAATATCACCTGTGTTTCATATAACGATTTCAAATATTCTAAAGTAAATCGTTATTTGGGTATATTTCATTTTGTGGGTCTTTCTTCTTTATTTTAATTTTGTTATTAGAATCAAACATGATTTTATTTGAATTGATTCTGACAATTTCATTCTTATTAAATTTAATTCTTTCTTTAATCATTATCATCATATATTTTAGGTACTTTATTCTTTCTTATGCTTTCATTTTAATTTCATCTATATCTTGTTCATTTAATCTCATGATACATTTTATTCTGTACCATTTCCTTCCCTTGATTAGATCTTCTAATCTATTTATTTTCCTTAGGATTTCTTTTACTTCATCAAATTTATCTCATTTAAATTTATTTTTGAGATAATAGTACATACACATTGAAATCCTTTTCATATCTTCTTGTAGATTTTCTATTCTCCTGACCATACCCATTTGTTATTAATTTCTCTAATTAATTTATCTGCTTCTTTCCTTTTCCAGTAGTAATTAATATTTACACATTTATCTATTTTCATTCCTTTAACTTGAGTGATGATAGAGTTAAGATATTCATCATCAATATCAGTAGAGTTATTTTTTATGATAATGTTTTTTATTATTGGGTTACACTCTACTTTCCCTTCTATGATGGAGTTCACTTTCATTTTAATATATCTTTTAGTTGTTTCTTTTATTTTATGTGACTTTTTAATATTATTAATGTATTCTTTCTCATTATTTACATTAATGTTTATTACTTTTATTATGCTTTCTATTTGTTCATTTCTTAATTTCTTATTTAATTTCTTATTTAACAAATTAATTGCAAAACAATACAACACATCAATTAAAATTCTATTTGTTTGATTTGTTGTGTTTTCTTCTCTTCTTGACTGATTATCATTTCTTGTTTTTTGACACTCAGTGTTTTGCTCCCTTCTTCTTCTATTTCCAGAATTGTCTTTTTCATAGGGGTAGTTTGGTTCATTTGTATTGTCCCAGATTATGTTCTCAGTATTGGTTGTGTATTTATCACTAGAGTCATTGTTTTCTTCTTCTCCAGTTCCTTCTGGGATAAAAAATTTTCGATACTTTCTTGTTGGTTTGATATTAATTGTTTTTGTTCTTCATTTTCTCTTTGTGTATGGTCTAGTTCTTTTCTTGTTATTTCTGCAATCTCATAGTTTTGAATCGCACTTTTTTGATATACAGAGATTTGATTTTCTTTATCTCTTATGTTCTTCTCTAGCAGCTCAGCACTCTTCTCCAGCGCATCAGCCTTCTTCTTCTCCAGCTCAGCACCTTTAAGGACTTCGTCCTTCTCCTTCTTCAGCTTCTCATAGCTAGCTCGGAGTGTTCGGATGGTTTCATCCTTGCCTCCTACTTCTATGTTCCTTCTACCATTTGCTTCATTTATTTTTCCTTGTAATGTATTATTTTCCTCTTTTAATTTAGAGTTTTCTTTTCTTATTTCATTAAATGTAGTTTGAATATTGTTTATTTGTGTTTGAATCTTTTTTATTTCTTCTTCAAACTCTTTCCTGACTGTTTCTCGTGCTTTTTGAATCATTTCATCTGAAATGGTTCTTCCATCTTTTTTGTTTGAAGTTCTTTAATAGTTTCTTCTATTTCTTTAATTTTATTTTGAAGTGTGTTGATTTCTTCTTTGTTGCCTTCTTCTTCCTTTTTCTCTTCTTTATCTTGTGTTTTCCCTTTATTTTCTTTTTCATTTATTATTCTTGCAGCTTTACATCTATCATTCATTTCTTTGATTGGATTTCTGTTTTTGATTTCTTCTTCAATTGTTTTAATATCTTCACTTTTCCAATCTTTTGTTTTATCTTTGAATTCTTCTTTGATTTTCTCTAGTGTTTTCTTCTTTCTTATTGAATATACTTCTTGGAGAATATTATACCATTTCTTTACCTTCGTACTTTTTAAGTATTTCTGAATATTCTCCTTTCTCCCATTTTCTTGTTATTCTTTTAATTTTCATTTGAATTTCTTTTGTTGTTAACCATTTAGGTTTCTTATTTGTATAATGTTTATTATCATTATATTTACTTTCTTTCTTATTTGTTTTTCTTTGTGTTCTTCTTTTCCTAAACCCTTTTTTCCTGTTATTTCTTTTATCATAATTATTATGCATTTTATTGCTATTGAAGTCCTTTCTTTTCTTTGAACTTGAATACCTGTGTCTTGTTTGATTTTCTTTACAAGACCCTATGGTATTACTCAATAGGCATGGCAACAAAATTTGTTGTATATTCTGCATTGATAAAAGGATCTAATAATCAAAAATATATTAAATAATAAAAATTAAAATTAAATCAAAACAAAATAATCAAAACAAGAAATGAAAATAAGAATCAAATGAAAATAAATAAAATAGAAAAATAAGAAATAAAGAAATAAATCAAAAGAAGAAA